AATGTCAGTCCATGATGTGACCTCTTAGCCATTTCGTTTTTGGGATCAGTCCCAAAATCAAAGGGGCACAACTACAGAGTCTGGATAGGCTACATATGAAATTTGAGAAAGATGCACTGTTACTTCTCAAGAAGAAGCAATAACAATATTTGTATAAGTTGATGCATTCAATGTTTTGCTGTAGACATATGTTAGATTTGTATGATGATGGTACCAAATAAATGAATGTTAGGAGACACTAGTCTGGGTGATGGAGGGTCTGCTTGGCGGAGAAGCAGTGTTACATTATTATAAGATCAATACGTACATTACCACACATTAATCAAGATGTTACAAAGCGTTTATTGTGTTCTGGTACTGCTGGTGCACATGTGCAGTATGAGTATGGACATGGTAGTTGTGCATGCCTTTACTCAACATCAAATATTGTCCACAAGATATAATGTGCCTACATGCTACGTATGTTTTATATGTGTACACAGCATGCAAAGAAGTCACAGTACACAGCTGATTATGCCTCAGATGAACTAATTTCTGCAATGCTAGCATAGATACCTAAGGTAGAGGTTTTCTGAAAAGAAAATTGTATGGCCTTTAAAAATGTCTTTACATCATTCAGGATCTTGTTTACGTGATCAGTGATCATACAAGTCAAGGAGGCATGCTCTTTGAGGAGAGCATTTAGGAATTTCATTACTTATTCCACTCTTTAATAGGCTGTGGAATATGTCAAAACATTTTAAAGGCAATGTGAATGAAATTTGAGAAAATCCTGACCCCAGGTACTTGTACCCGTGTAATGCAGTAGCCATGAAATATAGCTATGTTGCTCTGCATACAAAGCCAAGATCCAATAACTTTAAATCTGCCCTCACCTCACACTGCCTCAACAACATATTACCAAAGTCCCACTGCTTATAAAGATTTTGTCCTCATCTTTTAGTATGATAATATTGCTGTCATCAAATATTGTGATTTTACACCCAGAACGTGGTGGCCCAGAAAACATCCTAAGGATTATGCAACAAGTTACAAAACTTGTTTTTATATGGTGGGGCATAAAAAGCCTCAGGCATGTTGCAGTGGGTGTATAATCATGTGAGATTAACAAATTTGTTGATGTAATGTTTTCAAAACTTTGAAGTTATTTATATATAAATATATTGATTTATGACCAATTAATCATCACTTTCCCTCCCTTTCCTATTACAAAATGCTCATTCAACCTATGATTGATGTACCAAGTACCACCTCACAGAACTCTTGTTTTAGGTCACATGAGACAAAGTCTAATGGTGACCCATTGTGATACCCTTTTGTCCGGCATGGTCGGTTGTCTATTGTGCGTCTGTGAACTTTTTACATTTTCACATTCTGGAAAACGCCTGAGCCAATTTCAGTGGAATTTGGCAGAAACCTTCCATGACCTAAAGTAAACTATTATTGTGAATTTATGGCCTGCATCCCCCTATATCTGGCTAGAAGCCTGAGGGGCTTGGCCTAAAAAGGTCAAATGGATTGAAATTTCAAAAAACCTTCTAGATACCCAAATAAGGTAGAATCAAATACTCTTCTTGGATGTAAGGATCATTAAAAGCTTTACCAAAGTTGTAAATTTCATGATTCCAGATTCTCAAATTTCCCCTGTGGGGAAGGCGTAAAGTTTGCTAAAGTTTATGTTTAACCAAAATTGTAAATTTCATGACGCCAGTTTCAACTTCAGTAAAATTCTTCTGTCCCTGTACAAATGGCATTTCTCATTTTCTCTCTACTACACAATCATTTCAATTGCTTCTGATAGGGATTTCACTAAGGTATCCATTCAGGCTCCTCAGCCTCTCATTGATGTAATGAGTGGTCAGATGTTCCTGTGATTATTGTAAAACCTCATCTAGATGTATAGTCAAGTCAGTAGATATTTTTGTAATGTTGATACTTCCATTTATCTTCTGTACATCTACATCACCAATAACTATGACAATGTGCCTTTTAATAGCTTCATTATTGTATGGTTTAAGGCTCATAAGGGGATGTTGGGGAGACCATTTATATTCCTTGATTTTTTTGCTGCCAATATGGTTTAGTCTAATCAGATCTTAACAAGATGACTGCAGAACAAACTTGCTAAGCCAACATGTCAATGTAGTAGCTGTATGTATGGAGATTGTTGAGGAGAATCCAACACATTGTTTTAGCCATGAACACTGCAGTGTGCAAGCCTGGGGTATTGATCTGCTTCTTGTGACTGACTATAGTGATTTGTAACACACAGGCTTATATATTCCTCAGTATCATTTCATTATGAACATAACTATTTAATGAATGACCAAAAATGCTTGAGGAATGTTTGGAAGGTTGCACCCGCTCCCTCGGCAACCTGATAGTTATCTCATGCTTTTGCGATCATGTTGTGAAAAGACATTTACAAAGGAAATATATAATTTACTAATGAGAACTTGCAGTGACAAATCTCTGTAGATATCAAACAGAATCTTCAAAGGATCTGGTGTGGTAGTGTAGGGAATCAATTATCTTGTCTTTATACAATATTAGTAAATTACATTGTACATACTCTGGTGATTGAGCAGGAAAAATTGAGATATCTCATTTTTTGGGTGCACTTCATACATTTTGCAATACATGGCACCAAGTATTCTCTGATGTATAGATTCGTTCCAGTTTGAAGAAGGATCTTTTTCATATTTTATTGTGGATTTTGTGATCTCCTTGTCCTGAAAGGTTTATTAGGTCACCCAAGTGTCTCATGGTGACCTTTTGCGAATGTTTTTTGTGCTGTGTCGAGTGTTGTGTGTAGTGCATCTGTATACTTTTAACATTTTTTCGACTTCTCAAAAGCCCTATACTGATTTCCATGAAATTTTTTCAGAACCTTCCTCAGCTTTCCCCACCCAGGTGCCTTAGGGAAAGGGCCAAAAGGGCTCAAATTTCCAATATCTTCTTTTCAATACCCATATATGGTAGAATCAAATGCTCTTAATGGATTAAAGTGTCTTAAGGCGCTTTACGAAAATCTAAATTTCAAGGCCCCGTGATCTTTTAGCATAATTTGTTTTAATTTTCATTTGAAATATATTTAAAATTACTTGTACACTATATAGGATTACAGCTTAACAGTATTTATATTTATATAGATGTCATTATCTAGGCTAAAACCCAGGGGCTGATAGGCTTGGTCAAAAAGCGTCAAATTGACACTAATTCAAAAAATTTCAACACCAAGATATTATAGAATCAGATGCTCTTTGTTGTTGGAAGAGTCTTTAGTGCTTTATCAAAACTGTAAATTTTATAACCCCAGGATCTTACATTTCCCTTTGGGAAGGGGTTAACTTTACTATAGTTTTATAGCAAAATTACATTTTTGAGAATAACATTGTTTATTTTCCATTGGAAATTACTTGATTTGAATGATTAGCATAAGATGATTGTTTTGATAGGGGTTTGCATACATTGACACTGGCTGACCCCTAAGGGCTTAGAACATGTCATTTTAGTCTTACTTTGATCAATGTTGCAATTTCTTTTTCATGACACTTGAAAGGTACTAACCCTAAAACTGTTATAATCAATATTGCCTACCACTGGTGACTCAAGGCTGTTAGGCTTCTTGTTGATGTTGAAGTAATAAATGAAAAAAAATGATCATGAAACATCAAAAAAATTGATCACATCTGAATTCTTGCTGCTTTAAACTAATTGTGATCAAATTCCAGTTATTTGGATGTTGGTAATTCATTCCCTATTAACTAACATTGTCTTGATGCCTGGGGAGAAAATAGGAAAATAAATTAAGGAGAACGGAAGGGGACTGAAACATAAGATCCTTTTGGGAGTTTCTTAGAACTTGTGCTGTTCATCATACAAGGAGTACAGTTTATGTACATATAATTTCATGACTGACTTATCATTTTCCACCTCACTGAATGACATCAGCAGCAGTTGGAGGAAGTCTCCCGGGAAATGCTTGTGTAACGGTTTTTTCATGCTTGCTTTCTAGCTGCTACTTCTACAATTGATTTAAGCAGCTCAACACCATCCACAGATTTTACCTTCTGCCAAAATCGAGAGCTGACATGCAATGTCCCTGAGCCCATTCTGTAACAGGAAGAGATGTTCCTACATTGTTGTATGTACAGTTTTAAAGAGAGCCTAGTTATCTCATAAATGTACACAACTTCGATACATTTGTTGAAGGAAGTTATTTAGTGGATATCATGTATGGCTTCCATTGTATTGATATTTGTTGTTTTGGAGTCTAATCACAATTATAGCTTGGTTTTGTAAGTTCTGCTCAGTGCTTGATGAATATTATGTTTTACAAACAGAACACTTACCATCACAATATGGTTTACAGATGGCAATCATTTTGATGAAAAATTGATCACTGCTCAGTTAATTCTTTTGTGTTTTCAATTATCTGCTGTAAGTCAAGAAGAATACAAGTGAACGTTATATGCGTTCTGTTTATTACTGTAAATTGTATTGAAGTGAACTATTTATATATAATGAAAGTTGTTGTACCTTCCGTTGGCGAGTATGAAGCCTGAAGTGAAACACACAAGCTGAGAGACCGCAGTTGGTGCGTTGCTGTTGATTAAAAGGGTCAACAGGCGGTGTTGCTGGGAAACACTTCAGAGGATTGGCGTTATAATTGCACCTTTCACCGACGTAACCTCAGGACGGAACCGTCTGGCAGCTAATTGTGGAAATAATGACGTGTTGTCTAACCGGTGGGACTTATTTGACAAGTCCAATTGTGATGACCAGCACAAATACAAATACAGCTAGGCGGTTAAGTTATGGTGATAATCAATGCTAATTTTGTTCAGACAGACAGCATATTTATTTAGCTTATTCCAGTGAGTATCTGATATACTTGTATGCCATACAGTTAGTTTGTCCATGTGTGACAAACAGTGAAGGAAGCTGGTACTAACCATACACATACACGTGCAGACCTACAGTGTACTTGGCATCAACATTGATATACTAGCCTAGTAAAGGTAGCAGCTAGATGTCCAGCATCAACAGCACTGAAGTTTAGTGTCAATTCTCCAGAGGTACATGACAGTGACTTACTGGTACTGCCAACCATTCTTAGCTCCACTAGATGAATCATCAAATGTTGTGTGGGATTATGAGGATATAAGGATAATCTGACAGGAAGTTGTTAGATTTGTTACATCTACATTGCAACTGTAACACTGACATCACTGTTAAGTATGGAGCTTTCCTTGTCCTTATTGGAAGTGTGTAGGAGATTCAGATGAAGTAATATTAGTGGTCAGAAACTGCTTCAACAACAATTTCAGTACCAAAAGAAAGGTTTGTATGAATGATAATGTCATAATTTGTAAAATGTATCCAGGCTACTTAACAGTGTAATGCTTCAAGTTATTATGTCTTCTAAGCAACCAATTTTAAGGAACAATAACAAAACAAAATATTACTTCAGTAAATGGAACTGAAAAAACTTTAAATGTTATCTTAAAGAAAATCATATCATCATGTAGTGACACAGTTTGGTTATCAGTATGATTTACTGTAGTTGGGTTGATTCAGGAATTTGAAATATATCGTTTGATAATTTATAGAAGATATACATATGTAAATCATCTATGCTTTTATGTTACCTTGTATTTGCCCTACTTTTACCAATCAACAAAGTCATTATTTTTGAAATGTTTCTACTTGATAAGATGTAGAAGTGATCTTATGATTTCATTGATCAACTTTAAAACAATCAAAGTACCCTGCTGCCCTGCTGTGTAGCTCCCATATACAGGTGTGCAAATTAAACAGTATAGATATTGGTCAGCTCGCATTGTAAATTAAGCATTGGTTATAACAAGTCGCTCAGAGTCAGTCTGGATGCTAAAAAAGAAACACAAGACATGTTTACTGATTAAATTTTTGATTTCTTGTTCTACGTGAGATGCAGGTAACCAGTAATACTAGTGTATTCAGTATTTGTTTCCATTTTCTTTCAGAATTTCACATACATATTTGTATACAATGCCATACACTAGTGAAGAGAGTTAATTTATTCCAAAGTCATGGACAGTGTTACTTAATATAGAATAAGTGGATACATGTTTTCATTAAGTGATCTATCTTTGTAAGGAAACAGTAAGCTCAACTATCTACTTTGAGCTAAAAAGCTTGGGGTCATATCTTGAAAATCCTTCATCAAAATCAAGGTCATATTCAGCCCCAAAACAAAAATGGTGATTAATAAGATGTGGAAGCCACATATAATAATTAGGTCATGATATGTACCTGTCCGACGTGTCCTTGTTTTTATAGTAAATACTGGTACTTTGTGGTATCCTATTTCATTAGCACCATGTTCCCTACCCCTGCGAAAAAAAATGCATGGATATCCCTGGATTATTCAAAGTAATCCTTTGTGTAAGTCTAGAGATATCCAATATTTAATCTCTGAATAACCCAGGATGGTATTGGTACAGGATATTCAGGGATATCAAGAAAAAATCTAGAGTGAATGTTGTATCTCTTATTGTCATTTATATCTGGATTAGTCAGGATATTTAAATCCAGAAAAGTCTAGATTACTCCGGATATTTAAATCCAGAAAAGTCTGGATTATTTTAAATCATGGAAAGTCTGGAATAGTCTGGATTAGTAAAGACTACTGCAGTCAAGGTAAATCTGGACTATTTCAGAATTGTCCTTAAGAAAAGTCTGGATTAGTCAAGATTAATTTACTAATCATAAATCAAGGCAAGTCCTGTCAAGTCCCCAAATCTGGGATATAATTTCCTGCTTTTTTTTTTGTTTTGTTTTCAGAGAAAATGACCAAACTTTAATTTCATAGGTTTATTTAGACCATACATGAGGTTGAAGGATTTGATAGGCTACAAAAAACACTCCATGATAAATCCGAAGTCCACCATGTAATCCCAAGAAGGCTGTGGAGGCTTTTGTTTGGCCGAAACCACTGGTACTACATTGTATTTTGTTCTGTTGGTCTGATTTTGTGCATACTTGTAAATATTAGAAGCGAAACTATGTAATTGTAACTTGCAGCTGAAAAAATATCCATACTCTATAATTATTGCTGGAGCAACAGAAGCTGTGACTTCCTGACCTGTCAGTGTTCTTGTTTACATTAGATATCAAGCCAAAATGTTCATGGAATCTTTATACAGTCTTGGCTTTGAAGATGTGTTGTAGAAGTCTGATTCATAATGAGGGCTTTAAAAAGGAATGGTAGTGTTTTCTATGATTTTGAATTGGGTCTATAGAATTACATTAAAAACAACGTATTCATAATATTGAACTCCTTCCAACTTAAAAAGTTTATCTTGGTGTTTAATGTGTATCCAAAGGGCAGCAATATGGTAATTAGTAAAGCATTAGCCTACATAATCTGAGGTCAAGAGTTCAGGGTGTGTGGTTCAATGTTCCCTACCTGTGGAAGTTAGTTTCTTTAGGAAGCTGAGAAATGGACTGGCCTGTGCTGTCATGTTCATGTCCTTTGGCAACACTTTACCCCGATTGCTCTTGTTAGCATGTGGTGGATCTCCTGTATGTTGTTTGATGGAATAACCACAATAATATTGAGCTACTACAAGCAGACTCCTGTTATAAATGATCCTAGCTGTTAACAGGACAATAAACCATGCAAACAAGCAATCAGTATTTATCTGGAAATGAATAATGGTTATAATTTGAAGCATTGACTACAACAGGAAAGTTAAATGGATATGGATAAGAATTTGATGTTAAGTGATTGGGTGTAAGAGGAACATTGATAAAGTCATCAAAGTTTGAATTATTGATGTGTTTTTAGATTTTGCCGCTGATAAATGAATATCATAAAATATTGGGATATTCTTCGTTGTACTTTGTTTCGTTTACTTAAAAATGTTCATTACTACATTTGTACATCTGCAATATCATATTAATTAACACTCACATTGAAAGACTGAGATAGGTAAATGTGGCTTCTGTCACCCAGTTTAGATTTAGACACATAGATTATCATGCTAGAGACCTGAAACTTGTGTTTTTTTGCTGTATTATTGAAATCGTGTTTTAAGGTAATTCTAACATTAGCTTTAGGTTATTTACGCATTATTTCATAATGCTATAACACATTGAAACCAACGTTATCTCGCCATTATACATTTTCTGGAACCGTGTTACTTCCTTTAAAATAATCTCGATAACATCTTGTACTTTTTAAATGGTGCCATAAATTGTGTTATGTCAATATTGTATTTTATCACAGGAAATTCAAATTCCGGCAAACACCCATTACTGTTTGCTGATAACCATAGTAACGTTCATTTAGTAGAAACTGCTGGTTTAAATTCTTGTGTAATGTCCATTTGTGGTGTTCACTATAAACAATAACTAGATTTAAGAGATTGTGTTCTTTCATTTTCCCTGTAAATATGATCATGTTGGGCCCGGTAATTGTTGGTTGTTTAACCTGTGCTATAGATTTCTACTTAATAACAGTTATAAACCTATTGTAATGATTTTTCTATTATATTGTTAATTACATTCAAAAATAGCTTTCTGTTTTCCTCGTATCATACATATTGATTTACTTTCAATGTTCTGTGTAAGAATTATCTTTGCTTTGTGTAGACGATTAGGTGGATAAAAAATCAGAATTGTGTGTTCTGCTCCTTATGTTTTGTGAAATGAGTTAGAAAACTGTCCATATGGAAATGTTGTTTAATAATTTTGATTGATATGTAGTAAATATCAGGCTTACACAAGAAATTCCTTAATAATTGATGGTTTTTGATTACTGGTAAATCCACAAAATTAGACCACATCAATTTGAGGGAAAAAAAATCACTGAAATTGATGCAGCATTATAGTCAGAATGGAATTTTGAAAGGCTTTAACCATTACTGTTAATTCTTGCTCTAAAACATTGACATTGGTTCTGTCAGAATACTGCTGCTGCTGCTGCTTATTAACAGTGAATTAGGTCATAAATTTCCAGTGTTAGAACCTTCTAAAATTTATGATAGTGATTACAAAATTTCGGCAGTCATGTAAAAGTTAGAATAGGGAAACTGTATAGACATGTTTGTTTTCTAGGGTCCTATTTTAATCTACATGTAATACCATAACTTACTGTTTCTCTAATGGAAACTTCTATGGATGAGATTATTAGAAGAAAGATTTCTTGTAATTTCCTTGCTGAAAATTTCTGTGTGGTCAGGTAAAAAAAAGATTCAAAACACATATCCAATTCTAATTGTAGATATATGTCATATCCATAATGCATGTGCTTATCCTGCTTCTTATAGATGTATGCTTTTTATCTGGAAGGGCCGTGTGAGGGATCTGCAGACACTAGTTATACCAGTAAACATGTATAGGCCAACATTTTAGCAACTTTGATCAAAAGTTCTGAAGGAAACACCTTAATTTGTCTTCCTTCTTATTATGCTGTTTCCTTCTAAGACCCAATAATGAAATAATGAAATGTACCACTGTGCACCCTCATTCATAATTCTGTCGTTTTATTATTCTGTCCTTCTGTCAATCTGTATTTCCATTTCCTGACAGTAACTTAACTGATCACATTCCAACTTGAGTCAAAACATCAAATGTCAACCCCTCTTTTTCTATGAATAAATAACTGGTCCAGATCACCATTTTTGTACAATCCTGTAAGTTAAGTAGAGCAGTCAAACCAAATTTCACACACTATTTTTCTACGGAGAGAGCTTAAATGCCTGATATTGCTTTTAGTTCAATAGGTAAAATGCCAAGGTCACTATTACTATAAAAAGTTTTCTATCTGAATAACTGAAGTTCCTTTAGACCAGTGTTTCTTGAGGACACAGCTTGCTTGTGATTGTTTTTTGATGTGAAATGTCACAGGTATAGGTCACTGTTACTATAAATAGAAAAAAATTTTAAACACAGTAACACAAGTTTTGATGGTCTGATCAATCTCAAAAATGACAAAACAGTCACTAAACAGTCATTAAATGAATGGGGAAAGGGGATGAAAGGAGTGAGGAGGGGGAGGTTAGTGTCTTTCATTGATGCCTTGCTACAGAACTGAATTATTTTTTGTATGAACTAATTTTGTATTTGCACATTCACATAATCTAAGGTTATGACGAGCATTGTTAGATGTAAATTCAAAGCAAAACAGTGATAAACTGGAAAAAATACTTACTGATTCAGGCCAATTTGCATTGTGTTTGGTTGGAATTCTGTTGTTATTTATATATAATTTTGAAGTAGCTTCTTGGTATACTTATACTGCAACATAGTATTTGTTCCCAGTGTTTTATTGAACAAAAATAGCCTTTTTACAG